TTGTTGCCTAATGTTTAAAGTCTTGAGAAATGCCATTTTTATACCCTTTTCCCCAAACTATGGCTATTGCATTTTTGGAGAATATATTATATTTCTGTTACTCTGTCTTAACCAATAAATAACGTATATTTTTAAAATGAACCTATCTAATGTGAAAGAAGCATGAAGTGAATAATGGAAGGGGATAGGTGGCTTAGAAAAAGTGAAGGATTTATTGGGAGGGGCCCATATGGCTTCTTATTCTCTCTCTTTCACACATAGCTGTGTTACACCCACTAAAGTTAAGAATGCATCCGTTGTAGTTACTTTTCTCCAGGGGTCCTGGATTGATCAGTTTTTAAACTACACACACACACACACACACACACACACACACACACACACACACACACACGCTTTAGCCATGCAGATCATTAACATCAATGAAACCCGAGTACCACCTGCCAGTGCAGAAGACCTTTCACAAGGACTTCAACTTGCTGGCAGATTAATTAGAGAATGGGAAAGCTCTTTCTCACCGGGGCTCATCACCCTTGCCCTTGGTGCTATCTGCCTGATCTGCGTACACTGCCACAGCATTAGACAGACCCAGGGCAACTTTCAAACAAGACAGATTCTTTAGCTCAAGAGAGTGCCTCTGCCCAAGTATGGCTGACAAACTAATCACCAGAGATGGGTAAGGTAGAAGAGGGAAAACATACAACCCAAGACAGGAAGGTTACTGGCCTGAGTGACCTCTCCAATGATGGGTAAGGAATTATGCAGACGTCCTCTGCCATCTAAGATAGGTGTTAGTTTAAATTAAAAGAAAGGGGGACCCGTAAGGCTCTGCATGGATCTTCAAGGCACCTTGAGCAAGCCTGAAGCTGTTGGCTTGAACATCTTGCCCCCTGAGTTGTTATTGGTACTCTTCCTGTTTTGCTAACACACATCTGCCGGGGAGGAGCTAAGAGTGAAAACCCTGTTGTTTTCCACCTTGCTGTGAGTCAGTATATAAGCCCGCTCCTTACCCTCAATAAATGGCATTCAGCATTCTGCATTCTGACATTGCTGTTAAACGGGGAAAAAAGAAGAAAAGAAAAAGAAAAAGTGAAGGGACAATTCATAAATTATTCATCCAAAGCTCATTCATTATCTACAATGCCAAGAGCCAAGAAAAAATGGTAGCTTGGATTAATTTAACTGTGATAGAGATATTGAGCTGGTGATGTTTTGAATGTAGAGCTTTGAATGTATAGTATGAAAAATGTGAAAGGAACAGTGAAAACACAAAGGGCTTGGACCCTAGTAACTAGAAGTGTGACTTTGCCCTTTCTGAGATGTAAATGATTATGAAGGATAGTGTTTAGAGTGGAAGATCAAGGCCTCCATTCTGGATATTTAATCCCTAGGTGCCCATTCCACATCAAAACGCCTATAGCAGGGAAACAAACTGAAGTTCAATGAAGAGTTTGAGTTGGTGTTAGAGGTTTTCAAGTTGGGGCATTCATATGTATTACAAGCCACCGCACTGAGGAGGGAATAATAGAGAGAGAATCATATGCTCCAGTGAAGGGTTGAGCTACAAATGAAGCTTTATTGTTTTGAAGAGTGGACACTCCTTCAGAGAACAGGGGAAGCAGTGGGCAAGGAAGTGGGAGGGGGATAAGTTGAGAAGAACTTACTATTTCAAGGAGAGAAGGAACAATTATTGATATGTTGCTGGAAACAGAATAACATATGAACAGAAATTGACTTTTAAAATAGACGCTGTTCCTTGTTGTCTCTTTAGTTCATTTGGGTTCCTATAGACTCTGCTATACTACCATCTCTAGTTTTAGCATACAGCCCGAGGACTGGCTCCCAGTAGGTGGCTGGTGTGTAATTGATGAGTGACCATTGAGAGAATTGAACAGCAGTGAGCATTTTAATGAGCTATAAACCAGAACTTCTGGTCTTTCTGGCTTTCACATCTCTATGTATACTCCGAAGAAACTCTGAAAATATATTTGGCTAGGATTCAGGGAATTCATTGTGCTAGGTTGGTTAACTATATAATACTGATTACTCAGTTAGTAAGCTAGTGGTTGAGAAGAGGTCCAGAAGGTCCTTATGGCTGAAACTTAGCTCTTTCAAAAATGGCATTAGCATGCCTTACTCTAGGTTTTAAAGGCACTTTTCTTGGGTATCTCATTATTCATGTAGGATCCCCCATCCATGTCTTTTCTTAGTGGCAACTATGTAGCCTGTTATCTTGCTTGACATGATTGGTTTTGTACTTAGAGTACTTTGAATTCTCCTACTTGTTCCTACTTCAAGTCTTGCCTCCTCTAAGACATACAAGTCAGCCTGACATCCCTGAAGTTGGAATCTCCTCCCACTTCAGTTATATTGGAGTTTTGCAGACGTGAACCCTTCTAACTGATTCTCACTATAGTCCCACTGCCATTGAAATCAGCTAGTAATTTCTTGACTGTTCCTCAGTAGCCATTCCTGATGCACTTGATAAATCTTATCTCTTCTTCTGGCACCCGACCCCAGTATCATACACTATAGTAAAACTGGCCTCAATCACAAAAGTCAATATTCTAAATGAATCCCTTCTCTAAACTGCTAAGCTTGCTTTGTTATCTCCTTGATGTAAAACAAAGCAAAACCCCCAAACAAAGGACAAACAAACAAACAAACAACAGCAACACAAAAATAAAAGTTAACAATAACTATATAAAGAGAAACTTTCTTAACCTTATCTGTTCCTACTGTATTTCTATCCTTTCTCATCCAAGATTGCAGAGTTCGTTACAGCGCTGTCTCTTATCCCCCAGCTCCTACTCCTTCTTACCTCCAGAAACATAATTTATTTATGCTGTTTTTAGTGTTGTCCCTCACAGGATAATATTGCTCACCCCAGCTTCTATGCCATCTCTCATCTCAGGGGGCAGATGCATGGACTCTCTGTTCAGACTGGGCATTGGCCTTGAGGCATCTGTCTTCCCTGGCAACTTTCATATTGTGCTTTTTTTCAAGCCTTCTACCTGTTCTTACCCTTGTCTTCCCTTTGGCCAGCTACTTGGACTATTTGCACAGCTGCAGCCTTTTCAAACTCGGCCTTCATCCTCCATCCTTGTCCATTCATGATATGAGAATGCATTTGTCCCCATGAGAGGTTAACTTTCTTTACAGTTAAACTTTGACAGTGTCCAGGACAGACTCCAGGGGATGCCATCCTGGAATAGCTTGTTGCAACAGGATTTGGGGGCCACAGTGAAGACTGCAGAACTGGTAGAGGGGGATTGAAAGACCCCAGCTTGATAATTTGAAGGAGGAGGGATTAACTCTTGAGTGACACTGCTTGGATATGATCAAAAAGCAAACGATTATGGTATAATCCAGATTTCTGACTTGAATGAGTTGGCAAAAAGAAATCCCTGTTAGGAGACTGGGAAACTGAAAAAGTAACTAATTTATAGGTGAATGCATCAACTGTGGTCATGGTTATGGGGGCTTTGACAGTCACAGGTGCCTCAAAGGAACTGGTTAGCAGGCAACTGGAAATATGGGTGTGGAAGCTGATTAGAGACCTGTTGGTAACAAATGCCTTGTGGGTATGTGAGCTGATTGCAGAGTGTGCTAGTGAGGACCACTTGGCTTACTGGGTGAGCTGAAGCAGTTGTTCACTGCTTGTTCTTGTTCTCCTAAGTGGGTAGCTCTGATGAAGGGGCATGTGTGGCTGGGTGTTGTCACAAGGGAGTCAGAAAAGTAGAAGGGCCTGTTCCTGGTAAATAGGGTGCAGGGAGTCACAGGGGAGAAAATGTGTTTAATGTCAGAAGCATAGGCACTCTCTCTTGATCTGCAGGTTTGCACTTCGACACCATCAGCCTTGAAATTGATCAGTGTGACTGGCCTTGGATTTGTTTGCACTGCCTGGAACTTTCAGTTTCCATGGTCTACTGCCTCCAGGGTCCAAGCAAGTGCTTGTGGATGCTGGTTCCTTACCCTCAGGTGTCCTCATTAGTATCCCAATGCCATATTCCCACAGAGAGCACCAGGAGAGCATCTCTGAGGCTGCTTGATGTGACTGTTGTCACCATGGTGACAGCTTCAGATGAGGGAAGAAGTGAAAGGAGGTGGAAAGAGGTCAGCATTGAGGGAAAGTGCTAGGGTTCAGGCCTGACCAAGAGTGCATCCTGGGGGTTGGATGTCCTCACAAGGTTTCCTGTGTAACAAGAGGAAGATCTTCAGGGCAAGATGGAGGCTGTGCTCAGTCAGGCTGGGCCAGCACAAAGGTTACCCCTCACTTCCTGATTTCTAAATGGAGCTTTGGCTCTGTGATGACAATTTTGGGATCCTATATGTAAGCTCCTCTGCTGTGAAGGATATTCCATCTCCCCCAGTGCTGAGGCAAGCAAACTTTGAAGGAAAGCCTCCCCTGCCCATTCCCAGTTTGCATCACTGGAGTCTTGAATTACACAACTCTCTTGGGTCTGAGAACTCACAGCAGTGATGTGGAGCCAGAGGTGGCTGTGAGTCCAGCAGTATAAGCCACGAGAACCTGGGGCATGCCAACCATTTCAGCCCACATCTAGTGGGGCATATGGATCAACCTTAGAACAAACCGAAAAGCTACTGATCCCCATTCTTTCTGACTGTGGTGAGAGATACTGGATACTAACTTCTCTCCCCACTTCTGCTTTGCTCTTTCCTCAGCTTTTATTTGGCTCAGTCGATTTGGTGAATACGTCTTCTGTTCATGTCTTCCGCGTTTGAGCAAATCTCATGACCTCCCAAATAATGACTGCTATAGCGATATGTATCCATGGGACTCAGCGTTAGCCTCGCTCTGTGTTGAGCTCTAAGGGCCAAGCGCACGGATTCTATCCCCTGACTCTGGTGTGTCATTTCCAATGTAAACAGTGCACAAGTACAAAAGGTCAGTGGGCCTGGCTCTACCCTCACTCTGTTCACCTCTAGCTCCCCTGCTCTCTACGGGTACTAGAGCCCACTGGTTGTCGCCTTGTCAGGTGAGAGCCCTGCATATACATGGAGGATGACCGAAAAATCCAATGGTGTGAAGAGCTCTCCAGCTAACAACCACAATCATCACCCTCCTCCTTCCATCAAGGCCAATGGCAAAGATGACCACAGGACCGGTAGCAGGTGAGTCCACTGAAGTTGGGTGACTTTTGTTTTCCTTATCTTCTTCCTTCTTTTCTCTTTCTCACTTTTTACCTCACCCTCTTTCTTTTGCCAGACTTAGGCTAGAACCCCAGGGTCTTGTACATACCAGGAAGGCACTCTACCCCTGAGCTACACTCTCAGCTCAGCCTGGGTGATTTCATCACTAATCCCGTGTTTATATTATCTCCTCGGAGCTCTGACTTAGTCATAGAACAAGCTACGTTTGGCTCTAGGACATCTTCAAAAGGGACTATGAGATGTTTAGGCATGTGCTAAAAGAAAAGACAACTCATACTGACAGAACATGGCTCAACTCTGTTCCTTTGTATGCAGACCACAGTCTGCAGCGGCCGATGATGACACTTCCTCAGAACTGCAAAGGCTGGCGGAGATGGCTACCCCACGGAGGGGGAGGGGTGGCTTCCGAAGGTGAGTTCTCTGCTGAAACTGACCTGCTGCTACACCTTCTGTTCTTAGGTCCTGTCAAAGGCTAATATGGCCCTCCTCTCAGCTGCACCAGGCCTTTTTATAAAACTCTAGAGCAGTGGTTCTCAACCTGTTGGTCACAACCCCTTTGGGGAGTTGAATGACACTTTCACAGGGGTCACATAAGACCATCAGAAAACACAGATATTCACATTATAATTCAGAACAGTAGCAAAATTACAGTTATGAGGTAGCAACAAAAATTTTCTGGGTTGGGGCCACCACAAAATGAGGAACTAAATTAAAGGGTGACAGGATTAGGAAGGTTGAAAACCACTGACTTAGAATCACTTGGATATCCTTTGGATATCCTTTAGAAATCCCAGTGCTGAGGTGTTATTCCACTGCTCTAGAGGCTCTTGTGAGGCAAAGCAGAAGAGGCTTCCCTACATATTTGACTGCCTCAGCACTGGGAAGAGGGAATTATTTACAGCAGAAACAGCAAAAGGATATATATATATATATATATATATATATATATATATATATATGTCTATATGTATGTATGTACACACACATACATATATATGTGTATATGTATATATGTATATATATACATATATACATACACACACACACACACACACACACACACACACACACATATATATATATATATATATATATATATATATATATATATACTCTCAAGGTCACAGGTATCACAGAGAAATCAAGAAGCCTGGGACTGTCTTCATACTGGCCTGTCTTGACTCTTTACAATCTTAATCTTGTCTTGAGGCCAGCCAGTTTGTGTTTCACAGTGAACTGAAAAGTCACATTAGACAGGAAATCTTGGGAGGGCCCCCCCTCCCCCATAGGATGTACTTCAGATAATTCCTGAGCCCCAGCTCCTACCCACAATGCTGGCCTCTTTCCAGATTTTAGCATACAGGAAATCATGGCCTGGTCTATTTCTGGCTTTCTCTCTTCTCTCCTCTCCCTCAACATACAATGAACACTTTTGAACAGGTCTTGTCTAAGAAGCACACAATTCTTCTTTCTCCCCTCTAGGATTGTCCGCCTGGTGGGGGTCATCAGAGACTGGGCCAACAAGAATTTCCGTGAGGAGGAACCAAGGCCTGATTCATTCCTAGAGCGTTTCCGTGGGCCTGAGCTCCAGACTGTGACAACACATCAGGGGGATGGCAAAGGCGACAAGGATGGAGACGGAAAGGGCTCCAAGTACATCTGTCCAGTCTCTGAGGGGGGCCCGAAAGCTCTCATACCTGTCATGGGAGCTCTCAGTGGGAACTCTAACCATTGTCGGGGCCTTGCAGGGATGCACCAAGCTCTATGATAGCAGACAAAGAACTGAGCAAAGATGACCTCCTGTTTCTTTTTACTCTGAACACTTCCATTGCCCTCACCCATGGCCTCCCATGCAGCACCGGATCTCCTTTCCATAGGAAACTGAAGTATACTTTTGAAACCATAGTGCTTCCCTTGTCAGACATTCTCTTGCTGCCCATGGAGTGAATTTCAGCAGGAGAGAAGCTCCAAGAAGGGCATACTATCTCAGCCCTGGTTCTAGCAGTCAGTATGTGATGGTCAGGCAGAGGCAGTAGTCAACAGAGTACTATTGAAGCCATGCCCATTCCAGCTCCACCATGGCCAAGAAAGCAGATTTTTGAAGGGGCTTATGTAGGAGTCAGGGACATGACGCCTAGATAATTGAGCAGAAGCTGGGGAAGGGAGAGGTAAAATAGAATAATTGGAGGGTCTGATGTTCAATGAATAAGTGGAGTTCAATGACAGTGGTTGTTTGGCTAAGTTGACATCCCACATCTCTGCTCAGTAGAGGGAAAAGGCTCTTGTAAAGTTAGGATAAAGCATCTGGAAAAGTGATTTGATGGCTGAAGTCTAGAGAATTGAAAGGAAGTGTGGGAGGAAGGAAACACATACAGATCACTTACCTGGAGTTTCTCTCTTTTCCCAAAGGGACTGTGGGGACAGGCTTAAAGCTCTTTTACCATCCTGATATACACCCTCCCCAAATCCCCTCAAAGGCTATCTGTGCTACAGGTTCTGTCCTTGTTACATCTTCTGGGAAGAACAGGGGAGGCAATGAAACTTTCAATGGTCACAATGGGTCACATCCCTGCTATTGATCAGAGTGGAAGCCTGCTGTGGGTTACTGCAAAGGGAACCTGTAAAACAAGCTACTCCTCAACCCACAAGCCTTTTAATTCATTGAATTTTTTTTTTTGAGAATTTTGGGTTCTGAAACCTGGAGTCCTATCACCCTAGTGACCTCTATTTGTCTCTTCAGGAAGAAATTTGAACTATTTGTCTTGGACCCTGCTGGAGACTGGTATTACCGCTGGTTGTTTGTCATTGCCATGCCTGTTCTTTACAACTGGTGCCTGTTGGTAGCCAGGTAAACATGGACGGGCTTGGGTGGGATTGATCGCAGAAGCATAGTTCCTAGGAAATGGGATTAAGATCACAGCAGTCTCAACTCTGGACAAAGAGTATGCCATAGTCCAGTGTTCTTTCTGAACTCTCTGATTGATGGATTCTCTTTTATCTACTCTGTTATCCCAATGCTCCCACTATTCAATATATGATCACGTCTTCCTGCTCCTTTCCTGTAATCTTAAACTGCTTTTTCATGTACATCAGTACTGTCCTTGCTAAGTCTATGGTAGTCCTGCCTATATGCCTTGGAGGTATACTTGACCCCTCCAGTACATCTGCCACAGTTGCAACTAATATTCTATGTAGAAGCTGGAATTTGGTTATATTACACTCTCTTCCAAAACCATTTAGTGCTTGCCCATTGTTCTCCTGATAAAACTCTAAGGTTGACCTTCAAAGTCCACTGAACTTGGGCCTCTCTTTTTCTGACAGCAATCCACATAACACTACCCCTTGTCAGTCATTCACTCACGAAGAATTACTTGTATACTTACTGAGTTTTGTGCTCTGCGTTGGGTGTACAGTGGAAAGCAGGACAGACATAATCATTGTTTTTTTTTAGTATTCTCAGTTAGACTTAATGTAAATGTGCAATGAAAGAAATGAGCAAGACAGAACCAGGGACTGGAGGAAGCAAGTTCCTAGAGAAATTAGGACAATAATGGGCCTATCAGAGAATTTAGCTAAGATCTTGGTGGGAGGTAGTAATCTGTTCAAATATGTGAGGTCGGCAGAGAGGGCCTTCTGGACAGAAGGGATAACATGAGCAAGGCCCCTATCTCTCGATAGCCCAGTATGGCTGAAGGCTATGGTCCAGTTTCTTCTGCACATTGTGTGGGAGTTTGGTTCTAAATATGACTATTCTGTCCTTGCACTGGTACATAACTTTCCCTTTCCCTGTCCTCTCCCTAGGCCCTTCCCTAGGGTCTACCCACTCATTGCCCAAATCTTGCCAATTTCTTCTTACAAAGCTCCTGTAGCTGCTAACATTTCTTGATTCTCACCATTCCTATGTTAATCCCCACTACTATCTATATTCTCATCCTGCTGGGGTTCAATGATGTGTTCAATAGGAATCTATTGAAGTAATGCCTTATTAATTTATTCAATTTAAGCCACTGATGCCTGCAGTCTGAGGCCCTGGACCAGGGATGTGGCATATAGTCATGACTAAGATGTGTTCTGTTTCTGAAACTCACAGTCTAGGGGATGAAGAAGACTAATGATGGTCAATGGTGATGCATATGCAGCGGTGTCTATTTAGTAATAAGGGTTGAAGTAGAAGTCATAGTCATTACCACTAAGCTGACTGTGACTCACTGGTTTCCCTGGTAGCCATATGAAGCTCTTCCTGTAGAAGTAGGTGTAGAACTAAGGGATCTTACCAGGCTTTGTTAGTGAAGCCAGCCCTATCTCCCACAGAGCCTGCTTCAGTGATCTACAGAGAAACTATTTTGTGGTATGGCTGGTGCTGGACTACTTCTCAGACACTGTCTACATTGTAGACCTCTTCATTCGACTACGCACAGGTGAGTGAGCACCTGGGCTTCACAAGCAGCATTTGGACTCCTAAGTTCAAAGAACTGACTGGATGTGTTGTTGAAGCCTATTTCCTGGATGTAACTCTGCTAAGATACTCTTTAAATCTTATGGTCTCACATACTTATGGAGGTGTAGATCTTGCAGTGGTTTCTTAATGTTCTTCTGGCCAGCCTTGCTATGTGTTCTATAGTCCTCTGTGGGAAGGAAGGCTAAGTAGCAGTTTGTTCCTTGTTGAGAATTGTCTTCTAGGGAGAGACTGGACTGAGGAAGGAAGTGACATGTTGCCTTGTATCTCTATTAGGCTTCCTAGAACAAGGACTCCTTGTCAAAGACCCCAAGAAATTGCGAGACAACTATGTCCACACCTTGCAGTTCAAACTGGATGTGGCTTCCATCATCCCCACTGACCTCATCTATTTTGCTGTGGGTATCCACAGTCCTGAGGTGCGCTTCAACCGTCTGTTACACTTTGCCCGTATGTTTGAGTTCTTTGACCGCACTGAGACACGCACCAGCTACCCCAACATCTTCCGAATAAGCAATCTTGTCCTCTACATCCTGGTCATCATCCATTGGAATGCTTGCATTTACTATGCCATCTCCAAATCCATTGGCTTTGGGGTTGACACCTGGGTTTATCCCAACATTACTGACCCTGAGTATGGCTACCTGGCTAGGGAGTACATTTACTGCCTTTACTGGTCCACACTGACCCTCACCACTATTGGAGAGACACCACCCCCTGTAAAGGATGAGGAGTATCTCTTTGTCATCTTTGACTTCCTGATTGGTGTCCTCATCTTTGCCACTATTGTGGGAAATGTGGGCTCCATGATCTCCAACATGAATGCCACAAGAGCAGAGTTCCAGGCCAAGATTGATGCTGTCAAACACTACATGCAGTTCCGAAAGGTCAGCAAAGAGATGGAAGCCAAGGTCATTAAATGGTTTGACTACTTGTGGACCAACAAGAAGACAGTAGATGAACGAGAAGTCCTCAAGAACCTGCCAGCAAAGCTGAGGGCTGAGATAGCCATTAATGTCCACTTGTCCACCCTGAAGAAAGTACGCATATTTCAGGATTGTGAGGCTGGCCTGCTGGTGGAACTGGTACTGAAGCTTCGTCCCCAGGTCTTTAGCCCTGGGGATTATATTTGCCGTAAAGGGGACATTGGCAAGGAAATGTACATCATCAAAGAGGGTAAGTTGGCAGTAGTAGCTGATGATGGTGTGACTCAGTATGCCTTGCTCTCAGCTGGGAGCTGCTTTGGAGAGATTAGCATCCTTAACATTAAGGGCAGCAAAATGGGTAATCGGCGCACTGCCAATATCCGTAGCCTGGGCTACTCAGATCTCTTCTGCTTGTCCAAGGATGATCTTATGGAAGCTGTGACTGAGTACCCTGATGCCAAGAAAGTTCTGGAAGAGCGGGGTCGAGAGATTCTGATGAAGGAAGGTCTTCTGGATGAGAATGAAGTGGCAGCTAGCATGGAGGTAGATGTTCAGGAGAAGCTGGAGCAGCTGGAGACAAACATGGAGACCTTGTACACTCGCTTTGCCCGCCTGCTGGCTGAGTACACTGGAGCCCAACAGAAGCTCAAGCAACGCATCACAGTGCTGGAGACCAAGATGAAACAGAACCATGAGGATGATTACCTATCAGATGGGATAAACACCCCTGAGCCAGCTCCTGCTGAATAGCCATAGGTGCCCATCCAGCATTGCTTTGGCCCGAGGAGTTAGAAGTGCTATATAGAACTCCACATTTACATGTATCTGTCATCATGTCCCCCTGAACTCCCCCCAAAGCTTAGGATTTGGGCTACATGTCTTGGAGTTCCCCCTCCAAGTCCAGCTGATAGCCAACTTGTGGACAATGGGGGTTATGTGGTTTGGATTTCCAAGTGCTTACTGTCCAAGTCTGAAAAGGAACCAGAGAACAGCTGAATTGTCCTTAGGGGGGATTTCCTGGGACCAGAAATCTGGACAGTGTTCTTCTCTGAAGAACAGTTTGCACCACAATGAAGAACAGTGTGTACATTCCCTCTTTGGGCTTTTATATAGCTAGTCACTTCCCACTGCATTCTGCCCCATACTTTTCTAACATATGCTCTAAACAGCCAGTTTTCATGCAGGTATATGCATTTAAGAAGTGGCTGCTGACACTGGGCCCCTGTATGCTGTTTCCCAAGGTATGCAAGGGCTGTGAGGGGAGTGGTAGGGTGGGTTTGAGTGTGCTTGCTTAGGGCCATACCTCCTTATCAGATGGTGTCATTGTGAAAAAGAGGTGGCTGCAGCTTTGGTCACCACACCTCTGTGCACACAAAGTCTGAAGAGTTTGTGAAGGCTATAGTACTGGGTGAGACGCTGAATTAGAGGCACTTAAAAGTTAATAAATGCCTTTTAGCTACTTGTGGTTATTGCTCAACTGTACTTTCTTTCCTCACATTTCCCCATTCCCAAGAGTTTTCCTCCTGGCATACATTTGGGCTTATTCGTCTGTCCACCTGTGTCTTACTGGTCCTTTAGGACTCAAGCCTGGAACCAGAACCTTGGAGAAGATCCTCTTGCCTACACCTGCTCACCGATTAGGCAGTCTCTCCTTGTCTAGGCTTCCACACTTCTCAGAGCACACTCTTTTCTCAGTTAGTTTTGACAGATATGGCTTCCCTTCCAGATTGTGGGCTCCTGGAAGGGAAGGTCAAAGCAATCTCCTCACTGTTTTGCCTGTAGTTTTGGTGACATGTCTTCCACAGAGAAGGAATCCACTATTTAGCCACCTGGAGAGTAAGGGAATGTGTAAGTGAATGGATGTGGACAAGAAGGAACACAAGTGACTGAGAGCCCTACGCTTCCACTTGCAAGCAGCCAGATACTGATGCTGGAGGCAAAGGTACCTAATTCAGTATTGCAAGGTGATCAGGACTTACAGGAATAAGTGCTACTGGGTACTGTCTACACACAAACTTCAGCTTTATCTTCAAACATGGTTTCGCCTCATTATTTCCCTCATTCGTTCACGTATCTACTCACCATGGGAAAATACATGGAAAATTTACTATCTTAACTGTTGTATAAAAACAATCATCAACAGTTTTTATATTGAGAAACTCAGTATCCATTAAACAACTTCCTATTCCACCTCACCCAATTCATGACAACACTCTTTCAATTTGCTACAAAGGTGACAGCTATAGGAACCTCATATAAATGGGATCCTGTAGTATTTGTTCTGTGTCAGCTTACTTCACACAGTATCATTAAAACACGTCCACTTGTCATATTTCCTTTCCGTTTCAAAGGCCAAGTAATAGTTCACTGTACAGATATGACACATATTACTTATTCATACAGCCATTTATGAGCATTCAGTTTCTATCAATGATTGGCTACTAAAATAGTGGTGTGAATATGGATAGGCAAATGTCTCTGAGATCCTGTTTTTAGATCTTTAGGAGACACACAAATTTTGAAGTGGAATTGTTGGGTCCTATGGTTTATTTTATTTTTAGGAACTGCCACACTTGTTCAGTTTTCCAACTTTTCCATATTCTCACCAAAATTTATTTTCTGTTTTTGGATATGAGCCTTTCTACTGGGCATCAAAGAGTTTTTTTATTTTGGTTTTGACTTGCCTTTCTCTTATGAGTTATGAATCTGTCCCCTTTTTTCACATGTTTGTTGGCCATTTGGATGTCTTTTTTGGAAAAACATGTTTTCAAATTCTTAGGTCTCTTTTGAGTCATAAAATTATAAGTGATATTTATGTGGCATAGATACTAAGTCTTTACCACATCTGCAAATGTGTTACCTGTCCCTCGCGTTGGCTTTTCACTCCCTTGACTGTGCCTTTCAATGTATTAACTTCAATTCTTTTACCTGTACTTATGTCAAGTTTAATGTACTTCCTTGGCTCATTCCTTGGCTTACAGTAGGAAGCCTCCACTAGAGGAAGTCTCACCTGGACAGATCTGGAACATCACATAGATTCAGGTCCTGGGTCCATGGTGGTGGCAGTAGGGAGATGGCACTGGTGATGGGTCACTACTTTGTGTGCATTTGGCTTTTGTATTTTTGCTATTATGCTGGGAAAAAGCCCCTCTAAGCTCTTCAGCTTAAGAGAGATACAGCCAACAGGAAGAGGAGCCCCTGGAGCCCTAGACAGCTGCTTGCCATGATGCTTGTTGCTAACTGCATTTTTTACTAAGCACTGGGACTTACAGATGTTATTCTTGTGAGCTTAGAAGAGCACCTGTGTCAGAAACACGTGGATGGCTGAATTGAAAATACTTGCCTTCCTATACAGAAGAAAATGATAGTTTCTTTATGGAGTCTGGTTCACCTTCAATCAAGCCTCACAGCTGCTTGCTTTGACAAAGCAAGGCACCCCTCTGCTTCACTGGGTTTAAAACACAGACTTAAGGTGCAGCTTCCCTTCTCCCAGATATCTTTGCATTTAATCTTCCACAAATTTTTTCTGTGCATCAATGTCTATGTTCTCTCAATCGTGTGTGTGTGTGTGTGTGTGTGTGTGTGTGAGAGAGAGAGAGAGAGGGGGGTGTTGGTATTTGTGTTATTTGTGTTTGTGCGTCTGTTTGAACACCGTGCAGACATCCGGTGAGCCTTTGGACGTCAGCCTAGTCAGACAGTGTCTATTTCTGACCAAGTCGTATCCACCCCCACTCCTCTGTTCTCTCAGCAAGATCGTGACTTTCTGCTGCCTGTTGCTGGCCACCACCCCCGCCTCTCTCCTGTAACTGGCTGCAGTGTAAGAACTGAAGCACATTTTCCATTATGTGCTGTATTTATTCAGTACAACCTGATGTTCTCTGCTCTTAATTTACAAATGTTTAAATTACAATGGTTTTGTTTTGCTCTGAAAATATCCACCAAAGATAACTTGCCACATTTGTACATGACCATCAAATTTCTTTTGTATTGGTGACTTTCTATAGAAAACAAAAGTCCCCACTGCCTCCCACTTCTCATCTCCTTTCTGTCTGACCTTTGTTGGTCCCTGCTTCTCTTACAGACTGCTACCCCCATCCTGGCCCAAGCTGATTTCTGCCTCAGCAGCATTAATCTATCTGTTCCTTAGCCTGAGGCTGAAATATAGACCACTTATCACATCCTTCATTGAAGGGAGGCTGAAGAGAGTTCTCCTCGCATTGTGTTTATTTAGTCCAGAAACAAGGATGTCCTCAGGGCACAGACTAGGAACCCAGCCACCAGAGGGCACACTTACATCAAGAAAAAGGGGTGGGTTTGTTTTTGTTTTTTTGTTTTTGTTTTGTCACATCCCCTCTAATACATACACACACACACACACACACATCACACCAGGCCCTGCTCTTACAGTTAGGTGACACCTTTAGGGCCTCACATGGCTGTAGGAACAGTCTCTTTCTCAGGACCTCTCTGACTTCTACTCTTCTTGTCCTGGCCAAGTCTTTGTTGGATACTCACATCTGTTTCAGTGACATCTAAAGAGATATTCTGGTTTCTGACCTTGTCACTTTACTTAAAATCTCCCAGTAGGTTTCCATTATTCTTATGATAAAATCTAAGCCCTTGCCTCCAGTTTCATCGTCCTAAAAGATATAGATGGCTGTGTCAGGGTCTCTGACCCTGCTGACCTTTTTTTTTTTTTTTTTTTTTTTTTTTTTTTTTTTTAACAACTCACTTCCAGTCTCCTTTTGATTTCCTCACACATACCAAGCTTCCTTCTGCTTCCATAGCCCCATATTGCCCTGCCTCTTCTGTATCTTGTCAAGACTGGTTCTTCTGTTTTTAGTATTCTACATGATCCCTTGTAGATCAACTATGAAAAGATGCTCTAGTCCTTCCATAGAGTGCTGTCACACTACCCTGTTTGACCTTCCACTTTAGTACTTAGCACCCTTTGTGTCAGCACCTGAAGATAGGCATTTTTGTTAGTTTCTCACTGCATCTCCAGTAATATATCAACCATTGGAATGTCACTGTCTCTAACTGGAAATGCTGGTAGAGTCTTAAGGTATTGGCTTCCTCTTCTTTCTCCACTGAATTAGACCCTACTCCTCAGCCTCACTTTCCTGCCTGTTCTCAGCCTTGGGTATACTTCATCCACACAGCTCCTGGGCATTCCACTGCCTACCCCAGAATTCTACAAGGTACTCAGCTTACTCCTATTACTTGCCTCTAATCTTTGTCTGAAACATTCTTCTTTTTCTTTAATGTAACCTTCTCCCTGAAGCTTCCTTTTATCTTAAAAACAGATGTAAACTCCTCTTGCCAATGCTCATGGATGTCAGTGCCTTTTTTATCCCTTTCTCATGGGGTGATCTCATGGGGAAGGGAAATTAATTTTACCTGTTTGTGGACTACTGTAGTGTAGTGTAGTGTGTGTGTGTGTGTGTGTGTGTGTGTGTGTGTGTGTTTTCCTTAGGCTCTGGAGGATTCTGCTGAAGGCAGAGTTCTTCAACTAGAACAAGAAGCTGGGATAAGCAAGGCTGGGGTGCCATCTGTTCACAGCAGGAGGAATGGTGTGCCATGCTGGCTATAGGTTCACTTGCAGGTCACTTTTCCTCTGATAGGGACTGAGCTCCCAAATATTAAGTGATTTTTGGATCTCTCTGAATTGGACATTTCTCTAGAAGGGCAATCTAGCCTTCATTTAGGCTCTTCCAGCAAGTCAGCCACAGCTGGCCACAATAGGAAGGATAACAATGAAGAAGCACTTGGAGCTAAAAAGCTTGCCAAGCACAATTCAAGAATGTTCTTAGCTATGAAATCA